TTATCAAGCATAATAAGCTGAATTATTTCCTGATAGCACAAAGATATTCTTATTTTCATTTAATTTAATAAATTTTAAGCAAGAAAGATGAGATCACAGTTAAATTAGATGTAGAGAAGTCTAAGATAAAAATCTGATAAATTGAATGCCATTGTACTTACGCCCATGAGAAGTTATTTAGAGTAACGTCAAAGCCATAATCAGCATGATCATGAATGTATTCTGCATGGACAGCTGTATTAAACATAACCTAAAACCAGAAAATGCCTTTATATATCAGGACTAAAAGTATACGACAACACAAATTGTCCTCTTTTTCTCTCTCTTATTCAAAGGGTTTAAATGATGCTTGTGCAAAATGTAGATTATGCAAATTTGCTCCCAAGAAGTCTGTCTTAATTGTGCAGTTTATATGTTCTTAAGTTTTAGGGGCTCAATGGCGGAAAATTACCAGAGCTGATCCACAGTTTCTGAAGATGCAAGTTCACTGCAGGTTACCCCCTTCCCCCCTCCCCTCCCTCCGGGCGTTCCATCCTTTTCCTCTGAAAATATGGTAGTACTTATATACTCCTCTCTGGAGAGGGGTAACAAATTAGGTAAGGGTGAACTGATAATTGCATGGGCATGGCAATCTTTCCCCTTAGAGTTAACCTAGTCTACACAGACTTAATTTCAATTTCAGTGGACCCCTGTTATTGCAGAGTTTATTTCAGTCATTTCTTTATGCATTTCACCAGGGGGCTGGCTCTTGTCTGCAATGGTCAGGTGTTCATAATAGCTAGGTGTCTGCAGGACAAGAGTCAACTGTAACAGAAAAGTATGTAAGAGAGTGGAACTGACCTTCTTAGGGACACAGCCAACATTGACCTAGCAAAGTGAAAATAGGAGGAAAGTCACTTATCCTGTATTGCCATGTTACTCTGCATTAATATGCAACACCTGAGAACAAGACTTTGTACATATTTGAGACTATGAATATGCATGATGAAATTTTTCTGATTTCCAAGAGCTAATGTTTAAGAAACTTTGATTTGGTTAACAGAGAGAAAAAGTTCTGAAACCTTTTTCTGAAAAATCATCTGTTATATTAAATTGAGTACATGCCTTTTATTAACTATAATAATAGCCCACTTAAGGCCCCTCTCATCTTTGGATCACTTGACATTTTGAAAGTAATAATGACTGTGCAATTTTAAAATAAATTTTTTTCTCCGTAGTATCGTGTGATTAAAATTTAATTAATTTGACTTATTGAAATTACCAATTAGTTTATGACTAGAGCTGAGGTTGTTAGTAATTATTGCGGTAAAGCGTGATCAATTTCGCGGAAAGAATAGTTTTTTGGAAAGTCTACACATTTATGTGACTACATATGGTCATATGACTACATGGCAACAGTTTTGCTTAAGTACGCATGTAAAATTCTTACCGGAATGAAATTTTCAAGATTGAAAAAGACGGCTGGATAAAGAGAATCTAACATTAGGTGCACGCAACGACTTCACATCTTGCCATTATTATGTTAAATTTGTTGTGTTGTTTGAAATACAAGAACACAAATTGTGTACAGTCATGCTGGTGGAGCTATTTTGCTGTGCCCGATTGCAAAAACCATCAGTGGTACCAGCAAACAACATCTGCTGATTCATTGCTTTTGGGGCAAGGAATAAGGGCCAATAAACAAAGCATAGCTGTAGACCCAACCCAAAAGGACTTAGTTAATCCTAGTTAAGCTAATCCTTGCAAAAATCAAGAAAACTCACACAAGTTCCACCGAGTCTTCCATGTTCGATCACAGCAACTTTTGCTCCGAGCGAAGCAGCTCTTCTCGCACTAGCGAGACCTCCAGATCCACCACCGATTGCAATGTAATCAAAGGTTTTCACTGTTTGAGACATCATGAACCGAAAACACAACCTCATTTGAATTGAAAAGTAATGTGATTAGGTCACGGCAATGAGCAAATTTGTTTGTGACCGAACTTTTCTCCAGTTCCTCTCGCTGGTACCGACTCAGAGAGGACTGGAACATTGAGTTATTTAATCAACATGGCGGCAGTTTGATTGCGTGAAGGGTAAACATCTGAGAACCCTGCATGATCTTCTCTTGTTTCCCTCAACGAACTGGTGGATGACTTTGTTGTGTAATTGAAAAGTGTTCTTTTGTGATTTTTAGAAGGAGAATTGTTCACAAGGAAGTGTTTTTCGGGGATCAGAGGAGTTTGTTTACGAGTTGCTATGCTGTGTGCATAAACTTAGAGAATTTGGATTATGTCGCTCGTGTTATGAGATCCTGTCATTGAGCCATTTTAAGAAAACAATTCTTAGTTGTAAAGGATTTTTGCTTAGGGTTAGGGTTTTTATTGACAGCGTGTTTCGATCTGTAGGCCTGAAAAAATATGGAATTTTGTAATGACTGAGATAATTTAGAAGAAACAGCAGTGAGTTCATTGGCAGGCAATAAACAACCTAGTTTGCTAGATCAAGAAGAAACGTACGCTATAACTTCCGGACGTCATGTCTCTACGGACCAGAATCAATGGCTTTACGGCATGGGTAAACCTCAGACTTAGTCCAACAGGACACTTCATGCACAATATATTGACAGATCTGCTGAAAGGGTACAACATGAAGGTTCTTCTAGAAAGTTAGTAACATTTTTTTTTTTTTTCAATTTTTAAAGTTTCAAAGTTGGGATTTGGTCGTTTCTTTGCAAATTCCTACCCCTTCAAATTAAAAGTCATTTTTCTCCAAGACCAGTTTACGAAGGTCTTAAGAAAAATGTACTTTTGATCTGTTGTGCAAGGATTTTTGATTTATGGAAAAAAAATAGATTTTACTAGATAACTATAGAAGGAAATGAGTGAGGGGGAGAATTAACATTCAGATCTTAGGAATTGAAGGAAGCAAAATCACAATTCCTTTCTTTTTTTAAAATTTTTTTACTCATGTAAGGTTTGACTGGACGGCCTTTGGAGAAACTGCAGAGTTTTGATGGGTAAGTGTTACTTTGACGACATCAATAAAGGATGAGAATTGCAGTTCAAATTGTCATTTACTTGTTACCCATGGTTGTTTGTTTACAGTGAAAGCTGTTGTTTTTTTGCTTTGATCTCTCATGTGGTTGGTCCCAACACAATAAAAATTCCTAAAAACACGATCATGTTTTCCTAAGGTATACAATAAACTGGAAAATTTTATTTTTCTTCCAGACTGACCCAGCAACAAAAGACAACAAGAGTGGAATGGATTGTGAAGGAATTGAAACATGCGTAAGTAAATAGCACATGCCTGGAACCAATTTAGAAGTAAAAGCCATCAATAACATGATTGATGTTCATGATAGGGACAGTTTTCTGTTTAAGTGTTTTTACTAATCATCTGAAAATATATCTAGTCACCTGTGCAGAGTCATGTATGAACAAAGTTCAGATCAATGTCAGTATCTGAGCAATTGTGTACCTACATACCCCTCCCTTAACCCAACCAGTCAACTGACAAAATTAAGGGTTAGGGGAGGGGTAGGTGTGCAGTTGCACAGTAACTGACATTGATCCCGAGTTTCTCCCTGAAAATGTCTAAGTTTTGACACCAAGAATAATTATATGCAACTTGACATCCAAGTGCTTGAAAATTACACAGTTTTTTGGTAAATCATTTAATATTTTCTCTGATATTATGATTATGTCTTCAGGAACATTATCCCCAAGGACACATATGTGGATTCCAGAATGTTTGCCATGAGATGTGCAGATCAGGTTTGGAATCTTGATTATCTGGGAGCTGAAGTGATTTGTATGAAAAGTATATCAATGCATACATGCAGTGGTGCTAATGTCTGGAAGACTGGAGCCATTTCATGGAGTATCCAAGCATGGAATCTGAAGTTCTGGGGCTTGCTTCTCCATGGTGGCCTAGAACGTTTCTTTGTTCTAGACTCTTGATGAGACCAATGATATCTTTCCCTAACTTTTCATTTCTTGAATTTGTTCTTAAAAATCAACAGGTGTTTGATTTACTTTGGTGCCTGGTTTGTCATGACATCTGGTTCGTTTGGGAACGATCTGAATTCCTTCAACAAGCTGAAGGACAAATGCTGACATCAAAACCTTTCTCGGTGAGGAACATACAGTTACATATATTATAAGAATATAAGAATTTATCTAGGGCATAATATTTCAACCACTGGTGTGCAGTTTCAGAAATTACCTTTTAGAAGCATATATTAGAAATCCTATGATGATTTACACATGGAAGTAGTCTTGATCTATTTTGTCTGATCTTTGAGGTATCTATGATCTTTATTTGTTTGATAAATTTTTTTTTATTGTGTTGTTTGATCTTCCAGGTGAGAATAGTTCTGAGGGGAACTTTTGTCAGTAGTAGTGACTGAGGCTTTTAAAATCTTAGAGGAGGCCATCATTAAAGTCAAGTGAAGACTTGTTTGTCAGTCTAGTGTTATAACCCAAAACTTTCACTCTCAACTGAAAAACATCCCCTCGTTTGACCCTGATTGTGCTCAAAATGAAGTTGACAAACGTCAGTTTAAGAAACTTCTGTAAACAAAACAAAGCAATCTCCAACTGTGTTGAACAAAACTAACCTGAGCCTCAAGATGTGTTTTAGCTTTGGTGTGAATGCGGTATTCATGACCAAATTGGTTAAGTCATTTACTGTGTTATTAAATATTTATTTGATATTTATTCAAGTGGACTCCTCCACCTCCGCCACCCAAAACCCCAACCCTCAAGACAGAAAAATCCATGCTGTCAGGATTTGGATCAAAATCGCTGATTCAGACACCAATAACCTCCCCTGAGGTAAGGAGGAAGCTGGATTGAAATTTAAAAAAAATCCTTTTTACTATGCGACATGCATCTTTATATATATAACTTTAATACTATTGGATCAATTTCAGTATTTGAGAAACTGTGTACCTACCCCTCCCCTTACCTAACATTCATCCTAACTTGTTATCAGTTGACTGTTAATGGGTTAGGGGAGGGGTAGGTACCCCACTATGCAGATAATGACTTTGAACCTTATTACTTATAACAGCTATGTATTATTATTATCATCATCATCATCATCATCATCATCATTATTATTATTATTATTATTATTATTATTATTATTATTAAGAAACATGGCTGGAAATTATTGCTTCATCATAATCACCAGTTTCTCTTCTCATAACAGGTGCCCTCTCCTAGTCCAACAAATACGGCGTAAGTTCTTTAGAGGGAAAATTCCCCATTAATTGTTTAAAGCTTGATGTTATATTCATAGTGGTCAAAGAAAATATGAAAAGAGATGTTTGTTTTTTGATAACCTTGTCTCTGGAAACATCCAACAACTTCTTTGTGATGTCTTCATTTCTTGGGCAAGATGCTGTTCCTCTCATCAAGCCCCTCTCCACTCAGGGGTATAAATGGGTGCCTGAAAACTGTCAACTGAAGTAAACATTAGAAAATCCTGTAGGGGGAGGAGTGGGGAGGGTTTCCCCTGTGATGGGTAAGCTTCCTATCCAGAACGAATAGTTAAAATGTGTGGTTGCGTTGTGCCTCAGATAGGGGTTAGCTCTTCTGGCTATGGACTAATTAGCTTGTAATCTTAACCTCCCTGTCTCTCTCTCTCTCCCCCCCCCTCCCCACTCTCCTCTTTGACTACTACAATAACTCTGGTGTACAAATTGAAAACAAGCCTCACTAGTTAGCTCTGATTGTCCAAAAAATCCACCTGTATCAGTTTATGCTCACTAATCATGTGAGTAATTATGCAAAGCATAAATTGATTTATGTAACTACTGTATGTTGCCTTGTAATGATAATGAAATTGAAATTAAGAGGCACTTTACAAGAATGACAATGAATAGTTTTCTTGTGTGCCTACCCATACAGGAGGTCAGATGACATGGTGAACAGACGTCACAAGTCAAGAAATTATCCATCACCAGAATACTGCATCTTGGATATGGTGAATGCCCACCTTAAAATGAACAGAGAGGGACGCAAACTCACAAGGGGTGTTTTGGT